AGACCAAAGCCCTGTTCGAGCAGCACAAGCCCACCCACGTCATCCACCTGGCTGCCATGGTTGGGGGCCTCTTCAAAAACATCCGCTACAACCTGGATTTTTGGGTGAGCATATGGCAAAAGGGTGGTATTGGGGTCCCCAAGGGTGCTGCAACCCCCTGCCTTCCTCAAGCATGGGGACACGGGGACAGGGCTTGCTCTGCTGCCGGGGCCAAACCAGACCTCCTCTGGTTTCTGGAGTTATTAATGAGTTATTACCCATAGGGTGCAGGGTTTTGGGGGTCCCCACCCCACAGAGCTGACAAACCTCTCCATCCCTAGAGGAGAAACATCCATATCAACGACAACGTCCTGCACTCAGCGTACGAGATGGGGGTGCAGAAGGTGGTCTCCTGCCTCTCCACCTGCATCTTCCCGGACAAGACGACGTACCCCATCGATGAGAGCATGGTGAGCATCTCCGTCCCCGTGCACAGCCCAGTGGGGATCCCTGCCATGCTTAACTCTCTGCTCTTGTCCCCAGATTCACAACGGGCCACCTCACAGCTCCAACTTCGGCTACTCCTACGCAAAGAGGATGATCGACATCCAGAATAGGTGCGGGGTGGGGACACAGGAGAGCCCTTGCGGGCTAGTAGCACCCTCTGGTTATCAGGGCAAGAGGAATCCCCTGGGGTTCCCAGGAATTAAATGGAGCTATCACAGGGAGGCGATAGTGCCCCTGTATTCAGCACTGGTGAGGCCACACCTCGAGTACTGTGCTCAGCGCTGGGCCCCTCACCACAGGAAGGACATCGAGGTGCTGGAGCGTGGCCAGAGGAGGGAAACGAAGCTGGTGAAGGGTCTGGAGCACAAGTCTTATGAGGAGCGGCTGAGGGAGCTGGGGGTGCTCAGCCTGGAGAAGAGGAGGCTGAGGGGAGCCCTCATCGCTCTCTACAACTGCCTGAAAGGAGGCTGTAGCGAGGTGGGGTTTGGTCTCTTCTCCCCAGTAACAAGGGATAGGATGAGAGGAAACGGCCTCAAGCTGCGCCAGGGGAAGTTTAGGTTGGATATTAGGAAAAACTTCTTCCCCGAAAGGGCTGTCAGGCACTGGAAGAGGCTGCCCAGGGAAGTGGCTGAGTC